GGAGAATATGTCCTAGAAATTATCAGAAAAGGACCACAATAGCTTTCAAGGTTCAAAATTATAATATAAAATAAACGGTAGCTTGTGTCACTTATTGGGTCTAGAGGTAGGCTCCTGACCCTTGCTGGAGAAGATGGTAGCTTGTGAAGGATGATCCCAAGCAAGTATCAGCCGCCCCTCTTGTAGTTTCCTTTGTAATGTTCCCAGTGTCGCTACGGGGCTTCCCCACAGCTTCATCGGTGGTATTTTTAGTACTAGATCTCATAGTGTTCCCACGAGGGATAGTCGGTCAACTTCTACAGAGCCCCGCATGTAGAAGTAAGAGGTAAATACAATAGGGTGCCCCTTGATGCCCCAAGGTTGAGGCCCGTAATGGCTAGTCCTCTATCTAGCCACGCATCCCTTTGACCTGGTCCCGCCATCGTAGGATTTAGGTTTTTGGTGAGGTTGTCTCCTCTTGCTCCAGGCGGTTAAGCCAAGACCCCCCGCCACACCCTCTACCCGCGAGACATAACCACAGTCAGTAGAGGGTGCCTGGTATGAGGGACAGGGGGAGGCCCGTCCGGCATCGTTATATGTCTTGGTGCAATTCCCTGGCCACGACACTACAGCCAGGAACAAGACGATGAGTGAGATGCTTGTTAGACCAAGCCAAGCGCTAGGGGGATTCCCCCCAGCACCTGACCAGGACCTTCCTCCCCAACGACAAGGTCTTGCATCTCCTAGGGGAAGTATCTACCTATTACCTACCTTAATTATACCCTACATGAAATACCCTAAATAAGTTGGTAAAACCGTATCTACCTATTACCTACGGTTTTACCAAATTATTTAGATTTTTTCATGTAGGGTATAATTAAGTGTAACTTGCTTTTACCTGACTTTAATAAATTCTTCTTAAAGGTATATAAATTTTATTAAATTAAAAAGTTTTTCCAAGGAAACAATCGGTTTCAGCTAAACATGGTAATAACTCAAGACATGCAAATGTTACTTGCCGCGCAGAGTCTATGTTCCAACCTTAGTCCAACTAACAGTGTACATTATTCTATTCGGTCACCCGTATAACATAAATTGTCGATTTCTGATTTTCTTTAAGGTAAAACATATTTCTTGGATAATACATGACCGACCACACTATAGTTATTTAAAGCCTATTATGCACTCTTACTACTTTATAAATTGGAACATGCATAAAGTTCTTTTGGAGGACAAATTTATTCTTATACTCGTAATTACTAAAAACAATATTTTAAGGCATTAATCTTCCTGAAGAATTTATTTCTAAAAATGTCAATATAGGTACCTATATCCGTTGTCATTAAATGATAATTATTTTACTAGAAACAACAAATCCGATATTAATAGAAAAATATTGCAATTATAAATGCATTAATAGTTAAAAAATATATTTATACAGGGTGGTCCGAACTGTATTCCGGAAACTTCGGCAGCATATTCTGCAGATAAAAATAAGTAAAATAGTTCGTATAAATGTATGTCCTAAAATGCTTAGTTTCATGCTTTTAGTGCCTTTCAGTTTCATGCCTAAAATACTTAGTTTCATGCTTTAGTTAGGGTGTAGAAGTTTCATTTTTATTTCGATTTTTTTTTAATAATTTCTGAAGTAACGTCAATATTTGAATGAAAATTGGTGTCTGGGTGTTTTTTGACATGAGAAATTTGATTTTGGTGTCAATATGACTCCTACTAGTAGAGGGCGCCACCTACATTTGTTTTAACTGTTTTGAAGCATAATAACTTTTTGGCCGTACCTGTATAAAACTTCCGAGCGAAAAAATATACATTTCCAACACTTTTTACGTAAAGCATATCTCTTTGTAAAAATCGCTACCAGCAACCGTTCTTAAGATATTTAGAATGGAAATAGTCAATACATGTCATTATTGACGAAAAATAAACACGTTGAATAGATAGTTATTTCACTCAAATAATAAATTTGGGAAATTTTTATTTTTTTTAAATTAATCAGAACTTTTTCTGCAAAAAATGATGATAACACAGTTTCTGTTGAACTTTTAACACAAAAACATTTCAAATTTATGATTTCAATCTAATAACTATTTAGTCAGCATGTTTAATTTATGTCAATGATGACAGGTATTGATAAGTTCGATTCCAAATATCTCGAAAACCATTACTCGTAGCGATTTTTACCAAGAAACCTTTTTCACGTAAAAAACGTCGTAAATGTATATTTTTTTACTCGGTAGTTTTACACAGGTACGGACAAAAAGTTATTAGACTTCAAACCAGTTAAAAATATGTAGGTGGCGCCCTCTACTAATAGAAGTCATATTGATCATATTGATATCAAAATCAAATTTCTCGTGTCAAAAAACTCCCAAACAGCAATTTTCATTCAAATATTGACGTTACTTCAGAAATTATTGGGAAAGAATCGAAATAAAAATGAAACTTCTACACCCTGTATTTCCGAAACTAAGCATTTTAGGACATACACTTATACGAAGTTTTTTACTTATTTTATCTGCAAAATATGCTGCCAAAGTTTCCGGAATACAATTCGGACCACCCTGTATATTAAAAACTGTCTTTATTTATAACCGGTGCATTTCAGCATTCATGTAAGAATACTGGATTGTCAGTATATTTTAAAATTGTTTTTTAATATTAAAAATAGTTTTTTTACAACAGGTTTCATATACCTGAGATTTAAAATCCACAGATGTTATTTCTTAATCACAAACTAATCATAATTGGTTTTTATTATATTATATAACATTTTTTTATTTCTACATGTTTTCCAATAAAACAGATTTTCTGATAAATAATACAACAACCACCCTTAGAAAAAATAGACATAAGAAAAGAACTCTATAATACCGGGTGCGCCTCAAAAGTGTAAGTAAGATGTAAGATGTCAGTTTATCCATGTAACGAAGTTTATAAATTTTAAAAGAGTTTGGAAATTGGAGATGATAGTAGTATCGAGAATGATATACACTCGTCTGACCACACCAAGCAAGTGATTAATCTAAACGAATTTTTTTTATTATTTTTATTATAATGAGCTCAATTCTTTTACTATTATTTTTTTTAATTAAACACTATATACTGACTATTAACATTAACTATATATTTATGTATATTCCTCTATAATAATTATTTCAGTAAACACGTATATAAATATTTTTCTATTCTCTCTCTCTCATTATTCCTCATCACGACTAATGTGTTATTTATGCTCTCGTTTATTATTCTAATGATATCAAACAATTAACTTGGTATAATGTCATAATTGTATTAAAGAATTTATTAAATATTTCTAGGATTTAACTTGCCATGGAATATTTACCCATATAGCCCAAAGACTTGTCCAATTTAAAGTGCTTAAAAGAAATACGGCCTAATTACTTATTTTACATTATAGAATCTCTAAATCTCTACGGCAAAAATCAGATATTATCAATATACAGGGTGAGTCTTAAATAAGTGCAAATATTTTCAGGGGTGGTATATTTCGACCCCAGGAACACGCACTATGAGTTTTTTTTTCGCAAAAAAAGTTGTTGAAAATCGTGCGTTTTCTTTTAAATTTTCCTGTATACTTTTCGAAAACTTTTTAGAACTACCTGTTCACCGCAAATTTCCCCACGGTATGATTTTTTAATCTCTGATATAACCATAGTTACGGCACTAAACGGGATACAAATACAGAAAGGACAACGGCCCAGCTACGTCGAATCACCGGTTCCCATTAGAACACCGAAGTTAAAGGACCTAAGGCGATACTAGTGGATGGACGGTTTTACCGATTTGAAACTCTGTATCGTACTGTTGTCCAAAAAAGGCAAAAGTGTAAAATCTATTGACACACACTGCTCATTCACGCCGGTTCGAGGCCGGATGAGATTGGATATCTCGTGAGTAAGAGTCGATTTAGACACGGTAAGGCGGTAGGCCATTGACCATGATATGGCCGAGTTCGGAAGAATGGACTGCGGTTCGGATTTCGCGTAAACAAAGTAGGCCCCGACCAGATTAGCCCTGGCAGCAAGAAGGAGACGTTAACTTGAAATCTTTACTTTTACAAATACAGAAAAAATCCGGTGGCTCCCATAATTTTTTCAAAAAAAATTAATCATTTTTTAAAATTTTCAAACTTAAATAACTCGGTTATTTTGGAGTTTTTTGGTATTACTAGAAAATAAAGCTATAACCTCACACTTACTTAACATTGCAAGGACAATTTGGGGGTTTCTGGCGATCGCCTTGTAGCAGAGCCACCATAAAACAAGAAGAATTTAAGGGTTAGCTTGGTTAGTTTGACAACAAAAGAAAATAACCACCACTTGTGAAGTTCACAGGATTGCCTACAGCGCTTTCAGATGGAGCAGACCGTCCGCGACTTCGAGCAAGTACCATGAGTTTATATTAACAACATCCGGACGGAGCATACGCGACCCATGTAAAATTGTTCATATTATAAACTGATGGTACTTGCTCGAAGTCGGGGACGGTCCATTCCATCTGAAAGCGCTGTAACTCAAATTAATTAACCCAAAAATCCGGAGAAATGAGTAATCATTAATCAATTAGGGGAGGGGAGTAATTAATCACTCTTTTTTTTAAACAAATCTAACATCAAATCTGGTCCTATGACCATTCTCGACATTGTCGACATTTACTTTATACTCGACGTATTGTCGATATGTCAATACCGACAATAAAAGTCAACGCATCCATGCTCAACTCTGATAAAAATATAAATATCAGTGCCTTTTAATCAAAGCAAAACTGAACTTAATAAACTTCTGAAAAGAAAAGTATTGCTGACATCAACCTGTTACGAAATACCGTAAAAAAGCTACCTGACAAAATTCAATACAAAACCTGCAATGATTTATTTTATCTCAAGGTCTCCTTCAGAGGCTGTTTTCCGCATTATGGTGGGAGGAAAGCTCAACAAAACCAAAAGATTAGCAATGCAAAAGCTTTTAGAATGCGCGATTTATAAGAAAAAACAGATCACAGATTAATAGGTAGATGCAGTGATCGAAAGTATATCCGATTCGCGCGCGGGTTTAATAGTTCGACGGTGATCCTATATGAGGGACTGTTAGTGATTTTTGTGTATTCTGAATTATCTTAGACTTGAGATATTGTTAATATTGTTAGGTATGTACAAAAATAATTTACTAGTTTAATAGTTTTGGTGTGAATAAAATCACTAAGATTTGTTGGTGATCCAAATGACTAAAAGTTTATGAACAAAAACAATGTTTGGTTAAGATAGAATAAGATTTATTAAATATCACGAATTAAAACCAAAAAACAAAAATAGTGTGTGATAGATCTTGAGAGCTTCAAAGCTGTGGTATTAAATATACAGGGTGCTACAAATTGGGGGTACGAGCATTGGTATCTCAGTAACCGTAATAGATACGAACATGGTTAAATTGGGCAAAGTTGCGCTTTGGGATGTTCACTAAGATGCCATCAAAAATTTTTTTTGGATATCAGTTTTATTTTTTCCGGTCGTTACTTTTCAATCACAAAACTAATTGCACATTCTCATACCCACTTCATTAGGGTATCTGATAGTATTTTTAGATTTTCAAATTAGCTGATAATTTGTGGATACAAAGGCCAACTTAATTTGTTAATACAGATTACACAGACTGCATTTTTTATTTCAGGTTTTGAACTCGGTCTTTGGATACAATGATATGCCACACTTAATATTTTTTAGTACAACCAAACCAAACTAAGGATTGCTTAGTTTTTTAGAAAAAAACGGATTTTTTTGAAAATCAATTTTATTTTTGCCGGAAACACTGTGACCTGTGTGACCTACTGTGTTTGTCCCCTTTCTATGTCTGCACCCATTCTCCTATTCCTGTACCCTACACCAACTTGTGCAGGTCCTTGATAGGATAGGAGCATAGTTCCTCCAGTTCTAGCCTAGCTTTCATAAATAAAAAGTGTAGCTTGCGATCCAGAGCCTCGCAGTGACATATTATGTGCTCTATTTTTCAGGATCCTTATCGCAGAGTATGCAATAAAGACTTCCTTGATACAGGTTGAGCTTGTTCAGGTAACACTGGACAGCCATACGTCCTGTCAAGGGACCTATTGTAATCCGCACTTTATTCCTGCTAAGCATAAGCAGTTCTTTTGTGGTTTTAGAGCTTTCACAGGAAGGCCTTTATCCTTGGATGATGTTGATCGTTGCCTAGCTAGCTCATCGACTTGGATGCCGCTGTGGCCCGGCACCCAGAATAATTTAATTCCGATCCTTCGTGCCAGAGCTCCCAATTCACCTAGGCATTCCGAGACAAGTCTCGATGATACCTTTGGACTTAGAGGCGCCCCAAGTGCCGCCTGACTGTCTGAACATATATTGATTAGCTTACCTGAATAAGCTCTTCTGTTGTTCTCTCGCACATTGTAGAATGGCGAAGATTTCTGCCTGCAATACTGTTGAGTATTTACCCAAGAAAAAGGATAAGCTTGCTCTTAGTCTTTCCCCAAATACTCCAACTCCTGTTCCTTCAGCGGTCTTTGACACGTATACCAGGTTAGTCCGTCCTGAAGGAATCTTGTTTCTGTCCACATTCCTCGATCCATTTTGTTCATCTCGAATAATTTGTGGTAACGATAAAGAGGGGTCATTTGGTCCGATCTCATTTGGAGTAGAGTATCCCCGATAGAATCCCCCATATTTAAGTGTCCTGTTCATCATAGTTTAAACCAAGTCAAGACAAGCAAGTCTTTCCACCCTGCTGGGGCTGAACATTGTTGGTTGTCCCTTTACCTTAGGCCACGATACCAAGGATGCATATGTTACTGAAGGCCTCACTACCCCAGAATGCAGCTAGTGCACCATTAGTTGTCTGAGACCCCAGATTTTTCCATGAAGTCATCTGACTACCGCTAGTGTAGTCACCGCCCTCCCTGTAAAATTTTCTAAATGTCGGTTCCAGGTCAGTTTGGTATCCAGCGTGATTCCTAGATACTTGACCTTATTCGAGAGAGTGACAGTCTTCACCGCAGAGTCTAGACGTCTTAGACCCCCCAAACCCACCGAAGAATAGTTTCTCTCGTACCTTAATTTCTCCTGGAGGTATAACTTCAGCTGTTTTTTTTAAGTTTTAATATTCATGTCTTATTCTAAGTACCAGTATATAAAATTCACAATCCTAAAATAATACCAGGCGATGGAAATGCACTGCTGATCATATTACTTCCCAGTATGATAGGCAGCTCTTCTCTCTGATAGATCAAATATAGTAAATTACAGTTTTTTTTTGTTATCCATATAAAAACGTTAAATACCTATAATGTAACTAGACATTGTAATATCTTCTACACAGGGCCGTATCTCGGGGGGTGTTTTGGGGGTTCAAACCCCCCCCCCCCGAAATTATGGCCGAAAATTTTTAAAAAGTAATGATCATTAAGTAAGCAAGTAAGAACGAAACAAAAAAGAAGAAGAAGAAGATGGATGAATATCAATGACTAAAGAATACAAGGACATGTAACGCCCATATACGGGCTGCAGCAGAATTTGTGACCTTAGACGCCAACTTTTTAGACATAACATCATCAGCTGGTCATCAGCGACAATTTTAGCGACTTTTAATAGTTGATTGTGTGTAGTGAACTTTGTATAAACTTTATTACAATGGTAATTTGTTCAGCTTTCAAGTGTAAAAGGCGCAATGATAAGAAAGAGCCAGAAGTTACGTTTTATAGGGAAATAAACAGTCCCCTACACCTTTTTAGCGTTTTTTTATTGAATTCGATAATTATTTTTCTGATATTATATGTACTTGATATGTAGTATACGTCGATACTAGTTATGTACCTTTTGTCAACATTTTAATACGTTTTTTTCGTAATTTATTAGTATGATACCACCCGATACACCATAAGCGTAGTGAAAACATATAATATCAAAAATATAAATATCCCTTCAAGCGGCAATGTTAAGTAAAATAGATGCTACGGCACTGTTTGGAAGAATGGTCACAGTTTGGTCTCGGGTGCTATTTGTCCTTGTATTCTTTAGTCATTGATGAATATACATTATTCATCCTAACCTCATTTTTCCACTTTGAAAGCAAATGTCATTTTCGATTTTCGACTTTCAACATTCAAGTGTTTAAAACAGCAAAAGTTTGACAAGGACAAGATTTTGAATGTTGTGTGTTTTGCTGGTCATTAATGTGATTAACGTTTGTTATTGTTCTGCTATATAGACAAAGAATTCTTGGACTATGACACTTTAGCGGCAGAACTAGACTTGTGGCGGCAAAAATGGAAGCAGCTACCTGCAGTCGACCGACCTAAAAACGCAATCGAAACGATAATCGGAGTGTAACCAGTGTATATTTCCAAATATATACATTTTATTAATGATCCTAGCAACTCTACCAGTGTCAACAGCAACACCAGAAAGGTCTTTTTCAACCCTAATGCCGCAACCGCACATGCGGTATTTGGCGATCTCCGATCGGGGCTTCGCCGATTTCCTATGTGTATGGATGAGGAAGTCGGAGTTCGGCGACGAGAACGAGCGCTTGTCTCTATGTTGTTGCTATCAGAGCCCGCATGTGTGGATGGAAAGGCGAAGTCCGATCACGAGCGTTCGGTAATTGACGAGCGCTCGGAGTTCGCTAAATGCCGCATGTGCGGTTGCGGCATAAGACGATTGAAGAACTTCCTACGTAACTCTACAGGTCAGGAGCGATTGACAGGACTTACTCTATTAAGCGTACATAGAGAAATAAATATCGATATCGAAGAGGTAGTCAACCGTTTTTTCAGGGAAAAGACCAGTTTATCCTTTAAGATTAATAATTTTTACCTGTTACTTTTTTAAAATTTTATTTTCAATTAAGATTTGAGTGTAGCCCAAAGCAATTTTTTTTATTGCTATTGCTATGCTTTTTTCCTAGCAGCTTTTGTACCCCCCCCCCTCCCCTCCTCCAAGCCAAACCCCCCCCGAGAATTTGGTCTAGATACGGCCCTGCTTCTACAACTGATGCACGCGAATTTGTATCTACCCTATAAATCTAAACAACAGCCTTTTTAATGCATTAAAAATGGCAAAAATATTTGTAGGCACATATTATAATGTTATTGCTATCCAAATTAAAAAAAGTCTGATACCTATGATCTCTAATATAGTTAGCTTAATCATAAACTAATTTAATTACAAATAGTTGAAAGAAACACAAGAAAAAAACAATCTGTTTACGTATTTTGTGCATATTATATTAAATATCACTTTCAAGTTCGTATAAAAAATACGGAGCAGTTCCTATTAATTAACTATAATTGCAATAAGGAAATATTGTTTATTTATGAATGATAATTATTTTTACACTTAATGTATATAAATAATATGCCATTTTTTCTGTTCATTATTTGGACTGTCTAGATACCTATATTTTCAAAAACTGTAACATTAATAACGTTTAATATGTATATACTTATTTACTCTGTAATATTCAATGACCAAAGAATATAAGGACATGTAACGCCCCTATACGGGCTGCAGCAGAATTTGTGACCTTTTTTTTTGTTTTGGTGGCAAACAATGAGTCATCATTTGGTCACCAGCGACAATTTTAGCGATTTTTAATAGTTTGTGTGTAGTAAACTTTGTATAAACTTTATTATAATGGTGATTAGTTGTTCAGCTTTCAAGTGTAAAAGCAGCAGCGATAAGAAAGAGCCAGGAGTAAAGCTGGATTTATAAACTCGGGAGTTGAGGTTCAGTTGCCGTTCAAAATGTTCAACGCTATGAAATGAACGCGCGCATTTATAAAGTCAGTTGGTCGAAAACTTGGCAGTTCGTTTTACGTGCAGCGGAGTTCAAAGATGGTCAATGTTTATGTCGGCAGTTGCGGGCAGTTGGCGACCGCTGGCGACGTTCGGCGACAGCCAATGAATAAGCGCCTGTCGATCACGTGAAGCACAGTACGCTGATGCATTGGAAAATGACCCTTATTGTTGTTTCATTATTTCTGTTAATGTAATGTTTATATTTTGCGTAATCGTGGATTACTGTGTTTAAACTTTGACAAATACCAAAAGTATTTTTAAAATCGAAAGAAAAACGTTCGACATTTGGTCACCAGCGACAATTTTAGCGATTTTTAATAGTT